GCATTCTTGAGTTGTTCTGCCTGCTGGTCACATCACACCCTCTCTTTTGCCAGTGTCCTCCTTCCTGGCCCCACCATGCTGTCTCTAGATTTTTTGGAGGATGTGTAGTGGATGAATAAGCGGCAGCTCTACGATCAAGTCCTAAATTTTGGCATGACTGTCTCCTCAGCACTAATGATCTGGAAGGGGTGAGTGGTCAGCTGGAAGTGAGAGTCCAGTGTGGTGCTGCTCGGTGGCAGGATGGAACTGCATTTCATAGAGGTATTCTCTTTCTAACAAATCGAGTTGAAGAGCCATACAAGTGGGAGAAATTGTTGGTTTTAGAATAGAAGGGAGATTCCTACAGATCATCGAGTCTTGAATATTCATGGAAAGCAAAATGAACATATCAAGTTTTTGAGCAAAGAGACAATAATGCAGTTGATGACCAAGGCCCCTATAAACAAGGACAACGTTGGGTAGAGAAAAAAGATGTCGTGGGGAAGATGACGGCGTAGGTAAACGCAGTACTCACCTCCTCCCACAACCACATCAAAATTACAGCTAGCCCAGCCAGTGTGGCTCAGTGGTTGAGCATTGACCCAGGCACCAAGAGGCTGCTGGATCAATTCCCAGTTAAACCACATGCCCAGGTTGTGGGCCCAATCCCCAGCGAAGGGCACACAAGCAGCAGCCAATCGACGTTCACTCCATTGATATTTTTATATCTCTCCCTCTCCCTTCCTCTCTCTAAAAATCACGGATGAAAAAAAGAATTACAATTAAACTAGAGAACAACCATCATTCAGAACCACCTGAAATCAAGCTGAATGCAAGTCCTACCACTAGGAAATTAAAGAAGCCACATCCAGCCTGGTAGGAGGGGTGGAGGTGGAGACAGGCTGGTCCCACACCCACGTGTGGCAGATAAAGATCAGGAGGGACCCTTGGCAGCGAAGGTCCTCCCTGAGGAGTGAGGGGTCCCAGTCCCACACCAGGCCCCCAAGCTCAGGGCTCCAGTGCCAGGAAGAGAAGTCCCCATAACTTCTGGCTAGAAAAACCAGCGGGGACTGAGGCTGAGAGAAGCTGAGAGAGGCTGAGAGAGGCTGAGGGAGGCTGAGGGAGGCTGAGGCTGCTGGAGTCCTAGGCAGTTCCTCTTAGAGTCCTGAACACAGACTCACTCATACTTGCTCCCCCTGGGCTCCAGCGCGGGGAAGGCAGCTTAAAAGGCACCAGACACATACAGTGAAGAACTGAGTTGTTTGGCATCAGAGTGAGAGCTGGAGGGGCAGCTTTCTCCCAGACAGGCTTGCTGGCAGAGGCTGTTACTTTGCTGAGCCCTTCCCCCACGAGGCAGGCAGACTGGGGCATATCTGGGACTCCAGCAACCTGGCTCACACTGGTTGCCCCGCCCTGGTGATTCCCTGAGGCCCTGCCCCACCCAGCTTTCGGGCCCACCTAAGCTATTTCCAGTGGCTTTACCATAGGATTGGCTTGTCTTGGCTCCTGCTTCAGAGTTTCCTAAATTCTCCCAAACAAGCAGCATCTGGCCTCAGCAAGCCCCATATCTCTGTCTTAGTGGCCCCAGGCCTGGCACTAGACGCAGCCAGGCTTGGTTCACAGCTTGGCTTTTCCTGGGCACCGCCAAGCCCAAGCAGCAGCTATCTGCAGATCACTTTGTAGCTTATGCCTGATGGCCCCGGGTAGAACACAGGCAGTGGCTGACCTTGCTCCAGAGCCAGCACACCCAGTGGACAGTTTCAGACCAGATCGAAGCACCACCACCCAACCACCTCCACAAGTGACACACTCAATGAGTGGACTCAGTGGGTACCAGAGCCCTGATGAAGTAAGTCTTGCTCTGTGTGGTGGGCCCCTACACACCTCTGAGGTAGTCAGAGGCCAGTGGTCAGTGGGCACAACCAATCCTTCCAACTGATCAGCCTAAATCCCTCCCATTGACATGCCAACAGCAATCAAGACTCAATTACAACAGAAAGGTGTACACACGAGGGGTGCACCTCAAGGGCCCAGCTCGGGTAACCAGGGAGGCTGTGCCATTGGACCCTACAGGACACCTACTACAACAGGCCACCCTAGGAAACCTAGGAGACATAGCAACTCTACCTAATACATAGAAACAAACACAGGGAGGCAGCCAAAATGAGGAGACAAAGAAACATGTCCCAAATGAAAGAACAGAACAAAACTCCAGGAAAAGAACTAAACAAAATGGAGATAAGCAATTTAACAGAGGCAAAGTTCAAAACACTGGTTATAAGGACGCTCAATGAACTTAGTGAGAATTTCAAGGAACTTCGTGAGAACTTCAAGAAACTTAGTGAGGACCTCAAGTGCATAAAAAAGGACCAGTCAGAAATGAAGGATACACTAACTGAAATAAAAATTAATTTACAGTGAATCAATAGTAGAGTAGGTAAAGCCAAGAGGCAAACCATCGATTTGGAATATAAGGAAGCAAAAAACACCCAATTAGAACAGCAAAAAGAAAAAAGAATCCAAAAAAATGAGGATAATGTAAGGAGCCTCTGGGACAACTTCAAGTGTACCAACATTCTCATCATGGGGGTGCCAGAGGGAAAAGAGAGAGCAAGAAATTAAAAACCTATTTGAAACAATAATGACAGAAAACTTCCCTAACTTGGTGAAGGAAACATACATACAAATCTAGGAAGCACTGAGAGTCCCAAACAAGATGAACTCAAAGAGGCCCACACCAAGACACATCATCATCAAAATGCCAAAGGTTAAAGACAGAGAGAATGCCCTGGCCAGTTTGGCTCAGTGGTAGAGCATTGGCCCACAGATCAATGAGTTGTGGGTTTGATTCCAGCCAAGGGCACATACCTTGGTTGTGATTCATCTCCAGCCTTGGTCAGGGTCATGTAGGAGGCAACCAGTCGATGTGTCCCTCTTGCATTGTTGTTTCTCTCTCCCTCCCTCCCACTCTACCTGAAGATAAATAAAAAAATATCCTCGAGTGAGGATTAAAAAAAAAAAAAAAAAAAAGACAGAAAAATCTTAAAAGCAGCAAGAGAAAGCAGTTAGTTACCTACAAGGGAGCTTTCATAAGACTGTCAACTGATTTCTCAAAAGAAACTTTGCAGGCCAGGAGGGAGTGGCAAGAAATATTTATTTATTTATTTTTTTTTTTATTTTGGCAAGAAATATTTAAAGTGATTAAAAGCAAGAACCTACAACCAAGATTATTCTATCCTGCAAAGATATCATTTAGAATCGATGACCATATAAAGTGTTTCCCAGACAAGAAAAAGCTAAAGGAGTTCACCACCACCAAACCAGTATTATATGAAATGTTGAAGGGTCCTCTTGAAGGAGAAGAACAAAACTATGAACAATAAAATGGCAATTAATACATCTCTATCAACAATGAATCTACAAAATAATGAGCAAGCAGAACTGAAACAGACTCATAGATACAGAGACCTTTTTGTTGGTTGCCAGATGGGAGGGGGGCTGGGGGATAGGTGAAAAAAGTGAAGAAATTAAGAAGTATAAATTGGTTGTTAGACTGAGGAACCTCAAAGAGAAGGGGGGAGGGAGGTGGGAATAGATAAACAGAAGAATTTATATGCATATATGCATCACCAATGGACACAGACAATAACTGGGGAAGGTAGGAATGGGGGTGAGGCTGGAGAGGAGGGATCAAGAGGGGAAAAAAGGATGCTCATCTGTAATACATTCAACAGTAAAGATAAGTTTAAAAAGAAAAAAGATGTCATGGGGAGAGCAAGGGGATTTGTTCCTTATACTGGGATTGTGACAATCCTCATGAATGACGATCCTAAATTTAAGTATACATTACTCTTTTTGTTGGGTTTATTTGTGCTGGTTCATCGTAAGCAGCTGTTTTGCTGTTCCTGGGAGGTGCTGTACTCTGTTACTGATGTCTGGGTAGACGTGGATCCGGTTGGCGAGTGGAGTGCACCCACGCTGGCTCTTCTTGGTAGCACTGGTTTGCATTAGTTTATGTTTCCACACCAGAGTCTGTGTGGGCGGGTGTGCGTGTACCACGGCATGCTCTCCAGGGGACTCTCAATCACAGGACTTCATATGTTGTCATTGTCACACTTTCACATTTTTATACATCAGTGAATTTTTTATATTAAAATGTTGACTCAAAAATAAATAAATAAAATATTCTTTGGGGCTACACATAGTTTCTTGAGATGCTTTTTTCTCCAAAGATACCCTGGGAGGGGAACACATTAAAACGAGCACCTATGGCCCGGCCGGTGTGGCTTGGTGGTTGGGCAGCGACCCATGTACCAAGAGGTCACCAGTTCGATTCCCATTTAGGGCACATGCCCAGGCTGTGGGCCTGATCCTCAGTGGGGGGCGTGCAGGAGGCGGCCAATCAATGTGCTCTCTCATTGAAGTTTCTATCTCTCTCTCTCTCTAAAATCAATAAAGAAAAATTTTTTTTAAATAAATAAAATCAATCAAGAAAATAAATAATAAAATCAATAAAGAAAAAAAGCTAAAAAAAACAAACTAGCACCTATGGCCCTGGCTGGTGTGGTTCCATGGTTAGAGCATTGGCATGCGCACCAACCGGGGAATCAAACTGGGACCGCTCAGTCCATGGGACGACGCTCAGTCCACTGAGTCACACCAGCCAGGCTCCATTAATTTTCTGAGGGAGTGGAAGGGAGGGAGAGAAGGCGGGAGGGAGTAGAGAGAGAGAAAGAAACACTGATGGATGGATTCCAGGTCAAGGGCACATACCTGGGTTGTAGGTTTAATCCCCACCTGGTCTGGGCACTGCAGGAGGCAACCAATCGATGTGTCTCTCTCACATCAATGTTTCTTTCTCTCTCTTTCCCTCCCTCCCTTCCACTCTCTCAGAACATTAATGGAGCCCATCGGAGTGGCTCAGTCAAATGAGCAATATCCCATGGACTGAGAGGTCCCCGGTCAATTCCTGGTGAGGGCTCATGCCTGGGCTGTGTACTCGATCCCCAGTGGGGAGCGTGCAGGAAGCAGCCAAACAATGTTTCCCACCATGTGTACCCTTGAGGGAGGGGGAAGCACAGAGAACAGGTTCAGAGTAAGGTTGATAGGGAGCTGTACAGACAGCTTGGGTGGGGACCTCTCCTGGTCCCACGGTGCAGGTTGCTGGGTTCAGAGTGAAGAAGAAGAGTTCAGAGGTAGAGATGGAGGTCATTAAAGGCAGAGGTTGCTGAAGTCCCCTAGAACTGTGCAAAGAAAGACTAGCAGTCAAAGCAGGTGCAGAACTCTGCAGGCTGACAGCTTGGGGCTGGGCCACCGTCAGTGCCACCCTTAGTATCTCCCCAGGGCTCTAGTCCCTATCCCTTGCAGAGCCCAGAAATGGAATCAGCTCCTGAGAACTCCTTGCCTGCCCCTTGTCTTGCAATGGTCACCTGATAAGAACGCACAAGGATTCCCCAAGCCATCTGGCTGCTGCGGAGCACCCAGTCCCCACCCTGCACAGCAGCCTCAGGGGACACGCCCTCTCCCCACGCCCTAACAATTCCCCAATGCACAGGATAAAGTAAGGGGCAAACATAAAGGTGGGAAGGCAGTAGGATCTGAGTCTCCCTCTAAAGGTGTAGCCAAGTGCTCCAGCCCCCTCCAATTTGAACAGTGATATTTCCCACCCTTAGTAAACGCCAGAAACCATTATAAGATTTATATAAACTAATTTAATTCTCACAAGAACACTAGGAGAAATATATATAGATATACAGATATATATATACTTACTTATTTTTCTACTATTCATCCCACTTTCATAGCTAAGAAAACAGGCACAGAGGTTAACACCTTGCTCAAGAGCACGAGAGCGAGAGGCAGAGCAGGCTCAGGCCTAGGCTATCCTATGCTGCAGAGGTGCACCCCTACCCACAGAGCACTCTGCCTCTCCTGCCCGCATCTCTCCAGGGTGGGCAGAGGAGAGGCGGGAGAAGCATTTAGAGGCCACCTGCTCTGGGCCAGGTACTTGACAAACACCTGTAAGCATCAATCTCATTATAACCGAGTGAAAGATGCGCCATGGTACTCACAGTCCCTGTGGGGAAGGAAGACCAGTGGCGTCTTATCATCTGTCTGCCCACATAGCCCAGGAAGGGGTAAAGCTGAAATACAAATTTCAGTGGAGACTGGAAAGGGGCCTTCCCAGGTTCAACAGGAACCTCCAGAGCTCTTTCCAACCTAGCCTGGCATGGGTGGAAGACCCCAGGCGCAGGGGACCAGAAACAGCTCCGATGTTCTCTCATTGCGCCAAGGACAATGGCCTCAGGCTGGGCTGCTGGGGGTCAGAAACGAGGTCCTGTGGATCCTCCTCCCCAGACATCTGCTGCCAGGGACCAGGGCAGGACGTGGATTGGGGCAGGGGTGTTGCCCACCCCCTGCACTCTCCAGCAGCACGTCCTGATCCATGGGCTGGTGCAAAGAGAGATAAGGCCTGGACGGAAGCACCTCCTCCAGAGGACAAGGGCAACAACCCAGATCGTTGGGTGGCAGATCTGGAGGGCACGGGCAGATCAGAGCCCAGCAAGCCAAGGATGGTAAGGGAGCTGTAGAGCGCACCGTCTGGCACAGAAACGCTGCCTCCAGGACTCAGTCAGCAATGGTGCAGCCTCCACCCAGGGTTGTGGCCCCCCTCTGACCCAGCCTCTGCCAGCCCCGAAAAAGGGCCAAAGTGAGTGGGACTGGCTCCGTGGCTCAGGTCAGATGTACCGATGGGAAGGGAGCAGATGCATGGCAGGGAGGGCAGAGGGCCTCACTGGAGTAGGCGCCGCCGCTGGTACAGCACAGCCAGGACTGTGGCCAGCAGCACCCCGGCAGCAGCCGCCCCAAGCCACAGAGCCTGCGGGGCCCACTGAACACACTCCGTCTCCTCTGCCTTGCTTTGGGGAGCAGCATGCAGCTCAGGGTTGCCTGACAGGAGGTCAGCACTGGGACCCTCAGACACATGGACCCTAAAGGTGTCCACCGACGTGTACTCATTCTCCTCTGGAGTGTTGTCAGGTTCTCCATCCAAGTTGTTGCTGTGGCTGATGGCAAGGTCTGCGGAGCAGCAGGAGAGCGGCGGGTTGTCCATCTCAGAAGACAGCCTGCCTGGCTTGCTCAGCTCCAGCCCTGAGCCCCAGCTGTCCTGTCTGCTGTCTGCACAGGGGGAGCTGCCTCCAGCAGTGGCACCTGCGGGTGCTGGAGGCACTGGCTTCTCCTTATTAAAAAAAAGAGAGAGAGGAGAGGATGGAAGGGACTGGGGATGGCAGGGGGACAAGCCAGGTCGGGCTGCCCTATTCCTAGGCCAAGGCATGAACTAGCACCCTAGCCTTGTAAATCCCAGCCCACAGTGCCTGTGAGACCACCCTCTCGTGGGGAGTCAACCCAACGAGAGTGCAGGAAGGCAGTAGGGGGGAGGCAACCCAGGCCCTGCAACAGCATCAGTGGTGACATCCTCCAGGGCAGCCCTACTCACTGGCCCCACTTCTGGGAGCCCTTGGTGGTATGTGGCCCCATCCTGCATCAACATTCAGCCTGCGCCCTCCTGAGGGCCATGGAGTGGCCGGCCATCGGGTCAGAGGCCTGGCCATGCACCCAAGAGGCCCCATGGGTGTGGCTCCTCTGGGCAGAGAGCAGCAGTAGGGTGATATGTGCAGGCTCAGAGGGGCAGCTGTGGGGGCTGCGAGGTCAGAGCAGCTGGGTGGGCTGGGACTGCTGTCTGTAAAACCCTGGTCATGGAGGGGCAGAGCAAAGTGTCGAGGCAGACAGGCCATCCTGCTCTCTCCCTCACTGCTTCCTCTTCTGCAAAATGGAATTCTCAAGCTTAGCAGGGAGCTGTGAGATCTAAATAGATTAACACACACGACCAGCGCGGGTAGCCCACCACGCCTGGCTCTCCTGAGGCAGCTGCACTGAGAGCTCTGATGATTATTATTACTCTAAAGGACATGGTGTGGGGTCTGGGTGAGGCTGTTTCTCAGCAGTCCCTATACCCTCAAAAAGAGGCTCTGGACCAGCTCAGGCTGGAGACAGAAGGGAGACTGGGAAGGGGCCAAGATCATTGCTAGGAAGGGTGAAGACTCACCTCCATGGGTCTGTTGCTACTCCTGATGGTGGCTGTTGGGTTGGCAGGCACCTTGCTGGGCACCGAGCTCATGGGCATCCTGTGGTCAGGCACCGAGACAGTAGGTACCTTGGGTGGCGCTGTGCCAGCACGTGTTGAGTTGATAGGCAATTTGGATGGTGCCAGACTGGTGGGCACATTAGTGGACATTATACCAGGGGACTTTGAACTGGTGGGCAACTTGGAAGGCACTGTGTTGGTAAGTGTTGAGTGAAGGGGCATCTTGGAGGGTGCTATGCTGGTAGTCACAGACTTGGTGGGCATCACTACCCCACTGGAGCAGATGGTAGCCTCAGCCTGGTCACTAGCACCCCCTGAAGAGGAGAAAGAGGTGCCAGTAGATGGAGCTGACACTGGGGGTCCAGGCAAGCGGCTTGCCCTGGAGGTGGAACGGGCCAGGGGCTGGAAGGAGACAGCTGGAGATACAGGCCCATGGGGTGATGTAAGGCTGGAGACCATGCCTGCAGGGGAATAAAAGAGGAAACACACCCACAAGAGGGCTGGGATCAGAAGGCTGGAAAAGGGTCCCTCTGCCCCAGCTACACCATCTCTACAGCATCAAGGCCTCCCAACTTCCTACCCAGTCCCTTTGGTCACTGCTCCCAGGCCTGAAGGCCTAACAGCTGCAGGCACATCCTTGGTCCTGTCTGTCCTCAGTCCTTGACCTATAGCACTGAGTCTGTTCTCTCACAAGAGTGAAATGGTCCATCTCTCCAAAAGGCTCTAGGAGCGTGAATATCATTAATTATCCACTCCACTCTGCTTGCTTTTTTTTTTTTTTTTAAGGATTAATCACTGAATCCAGCTTGCCTTGGCTTAACTCTTTTTTTTTTTTTTTTTCCTGTATTGATTTTTAGAGGGAGAGAGAGATAGAAACATTGATGAGAGAGAACATCGATTGGCTGCCTCCTACATGCCCCCTACTGGGGATCAGGCCCACAACCTGAGCATGTGTCCTGACCAGGAATTGAACCAGCAACCTCTTGGTGCATGGGTTGATGCTCAACCACTGAGACACACCAGCCAGACTCTGCTTTTGTTCTCCTGCCTGGGACATCCCTCTTTCCTCCAGTGACTGCCTTTTCCATCTTCTCCCTAGCTTGGTGGAATCCTGAATGCTCCTCCCCGACATCTTTTCTCCCCACCCCACCCCCAGCAGGAGCAATCCTGGACCAGGGGCAGCAGGATGGCTCAAGCAGAAGAGCTCATACCAGTCACGTGGTTCCAGATGCCCAGCTAACCCCCAGTGTGTGCAAATCTAGGAGGCCTAAGGGCTTGAGGTGGGGGTGGTGCAGGCACAAAGCCACCCCTGGGAGAAGGGCTTGTCCTGGCAGAAGCAGGAGGGAGCAGGTGGTGATCATCCATAAGGTGGTTACATCAGGATTTTCCATGGAACTCTGAGAATGCACACGCCAGGCCCTACAGCTGACAAAGGCCAGGAGTGATTCCGATGTGCCCCCGACCCCAATATACCAGCACAGAATCCTGTAGGACCTGCCCACACACAGCTGAAATCCAAGTGCCCTCTGCCTCTCTGAGGTCCACAGCAGCATTTCCTGAAAGGCATTGTTGGTAAGCTGACACTGCAAAATGCAAATGGGTGCTTGGGGCAGAGTTTTGAGGTGACAGAAGTGTAGGGCACTATGATGTCTTCCCTGAGCCTTTGACTGCTCATGTGCCTTGTGGCTGTCCCAGGGGCACCGAGGGCTGGCCAGGCACCAGTGTCATGTGGAACACAGTTTGGGAAATAGTGGTGCAGAGATGCCAGCCTGGGGGGGTCAGAGGGGACAGCTCTATATTCCTAAGGGAGGCACTGAGGTGGGGCGCGGGGATCCAGGCCCTTGGCTGATGAAGACCATACTTCCTCTGGGGGCTGAGAAGATTTGTGATGTGCTGGGAGATAGAGACTGTCTGAGGGCAGAGCTGTGCCTCAGGGCTCCCCTGCCCGCAGCGGGCCCAGCCTTGTACTCTCCCTTCTGCACTACCCCCAGGTGCTGGTGGATCCCCACGGAGTCCCTTTGGTAGCGTGCAGAAGTAGCCCTAATTCTCTTCTCCTCCTTGTACCCACGCCCTCTGCAATGTGACTTTGTAAGTCCTCTCATCTAAGGATGGAGTGTTTCCCGACTCCTCGACCCTGGGCAGGCCTTGTGACTTGCTGTGGCCCACAGAATGAGGCAGGAGGAACACTGTGCAGGTTTGAGCCTATGTCCCAGGAGCCCTCTCTTTCTCAGAACTCTGATCAGCTGCCATGAAACAGGCTTGTCACTAGAGGATGAGAAACCCGTGGAAGAGAACCGAGGTGCCCCAGACACAGCCATAAGCAGAACTTATGTGTACGCTGGTGTGCACACAAGAGGGAATTCAGCCAAGATCCGAACCAGCTGAGCCGGCCCAAATTGCTGACCCAGAGAATCATGAACTAAATAAATAATCATATTTTAAGCTATTAAAAGTTGAGGACTACCCAGCCGGCGTGGCTCAGTGGTTGAGCGTAGTCCTATGCACAAAGAGGTTGCCAGTTCGATTCCCGTTCAGGGCACATGCCACATTGTGGGCCCGATCCCCAGTGGGGGCATGCAGGAGGCGGCCAATCGATGTTCTCTCTCATCAATGTATCAATGTTTCTTTCTTTCTTTTTTTTTTTTTATCCTCACCTGAGGATATTTTTCCATTTTTTGTACAGATAGAGTGGGAGGGAGAGAGAGGAAGGGAGGGAGAGAGAGAGAAACATCGACGTGAAGGGACACATCGAGTGGCTGCCACCCACATGACCAAGCAGGACCAGGGACAAACTGCAACCGAAGTACATGCCCTTAGCGGGAACCGAACCCGGGTCTCTCCGGACCGCAGGCCGACGCTTTAACCGCTGAGCCAAACTGGCCAGGGCCATCAATGTTTCTTTCTATCTCTCTCTCTCTCTCTCTTCTTTCCTCTCTCTCTAAAATCAATAAAGAAAAAAAAAAGTTGAGGACTGTTTGTTACACAGTAAATGCTAACCAATACACCCTCTAAGGAATTGGGTTTCTCCCTTGGATAAACTCCCTTTATTCCCACCCTGCCTCTTTTCCAAGGAAGCCAAAGAAGCAACTCTAACCCTCCCCCTCACTCAGAGGTCAGAAAGGCCCTATAACTCCAGATTCCACACATACCTGCTTTGTTGGTGTTGCCCAGTTCTGTGTCCTGCTCCTGAGGCCCACTCGAGGTCAGAGGGCTGTGGGCCGCCATGTCAGAGGAGGGCTCCAAGGGGCCACTGGGCCTCTTCAAAACAGCCCCAGAGCTGGCTGGCTGCGGGGCCTCCTTTGAACTCTGCAAGAGGCAAAATGTGAGTAAGTCCTCTGCTTCTCCCAGGAGCTGGCAAAGGAGAGCCTGTGCTTGCGGGGCAGTCCCAACAGACCTCAGCCCACACCGAGGAGCACAGGGAACAAGGAAGCCACTTCCTTGGCTTGGTCAACGCCAGACCCTCTTTCTACAGGTGGCTCTGAACCCACCTCATAGAAAACACATATACCATCCCCGGGGGGGTCCCTATCTGTCTGGCCATGCAGAAAGGTCCCCGTCTGTAAGGCCATTGCACAGACCCCTTTCCATGGGTTTGGTGTCTGTAGGACACCCACTGCCCATTCGTCATATCCCAATAGAATTAGTCATCTTTTCCCCAAACTTCACTTTGTTGGTAATAATATAGCTCTACCCTCCAACTGCTACCCCATCCTCCTGCTCGCTCATGCCCCTCATCTGGTCAGCCGCTGCTCTCTCACAGGTACCAGTGTAAAGATCTGACTGTGACCTCACAGCTAATGAGAGGACTGCTGCTGCCACGGAGCGAGGCCTTGGTCAGCAGTCTGGGAGCAGGTCTGCGGCAGATCCCCACAGGGGGAGCCCTGGGGCTCTGAGCATGATTTCTGGGGTGCAGGAGAGGGCTTCTGGAAGGCTGGGTGAGCAGAAGTAGGCAGACAGGAACATAAAAGCAGGGGGCACAGGTAGATCGTGAGGACCTACCTCTCCCAGGGACACTGGCACCTGGGTGTCCTGGACAGGCATGGGGTAACTCGGCTCCTCATCTCTGTAGCTGTTGTGGGAGGCACTGGGGGCCACAGTGGGTGTGGAGGGCCCTGGAGCCTTAGCAGGAGCTGACGGCGGCTCCGGTGGGGCTGGGGGTCGTCTCTGGCTCACTGCAAGACAAAGACATAGTGATGTCAAGGAGAAATCAGGAGAGGCCTGGGTGCTCTTGATCCCCAGGGCCAGGGCTGCTGAAACTCCCACAGCTCCAAAAGTCCTGATCTGGGATGCACTCCGCAGAGGAGAGAAGCTTCACGAGTGGAAGGCAGAAGTGGGAGGGAGGGAGGGGTTGGGGAGGACAAGGAGAAGGTGGAAGAGAAGGAAGGGGAGAGTGTAGGGTACTTCACTGGCCTCTCACCACCCAGACTGGGTCAGCAAGCACCACTCCTCTGACCCTAGGCATTCTGGGACCCAGTGGCTTTCTCCTGTGGGTGATTGTCACCACCAACTGACCCCTGACCTGATGCTGCCTCCTCCTCAGCCCCACCCCTTTGCCCCCATCACCTACCCCTGGCCCCACCACAGTCGTTTGTATTCAGGGAATCACTGTTAATCTCCACAAGTAAAGAGACACATTTGGAAGGAAGGGGGGGGGGGACGGAAGGTAGAGAAAAACGACAGAAGATAAGCAGGGGGATGTTGCAAGGCTATAAATCTAGGCAGGGCTTCAGGAATGTTCTCTAGTCTGAAATATAAATAAGGCCGGCTCGCCCAGCCAGTGTGGCTCAGTGGCTTGAGCGTTGTCCCATGCACCAAGAGGTCACCAATTCCATTCCTGGTCAGGGCACATGCCCGGGTCGTGGACTTGATCCCCAGTAGGGGGCATGCAGGAAGCAGCCAATCGATGTTTCTGTCTCATTGATGTTTCTCTCTCTCTCTCTCTCCCTCTCCCTTTCTCTCTATCTAAAAGTCAATAAAAACATATATTTAAAAAATAGGGCTGGCTTTCATTTTCCTCCTGTTTCAGTCCCTCAGACCCTGACCTCACAAAACCCCCTGGGGCATTTGGCCTGGCAGGGAATGCTGAGGGGAGCGGAGGGGTCACTGGGGTGGGAACTCAGAAGGCTCTAAGGGAAACCAGGGGAGAGGAAGAGATGAGGGGAAAGAAAGAAGAAACCCAGGACAGATAAAGAGGAGACAGTAGCTCTGGCCAGTCTGGCTCAGCAGTTAGAGCATCAGCCTGTGGTCCAGAGAGACCTGGGTTCGGTTCCCGCTAAGGGCATGTACCTCTCTTGCAGTTTGTCCCCGGCCCTGGGTGGGTCGTGCGGGTGGCAGCCACTCGATGTGTCCCTTTCACATCGATGTTTCTCTCTCTCTCTCTCTCTTCCTCTCTCTCCCTCCTGCTCTGTCTGAATAAAATATGAAAAAATGTCCACGGGTGAGGATAAAAAAAAAAAAAGAGACAGTAAAGGGAGGGAAAGAGGAGCGAGGAGTGGGGAGAGGGGAACTGAGGGGGAGGAGACGGGAGGAAGTGAGAACGGGTGGAAGGCACAGCCACCAACACAAGAGGGGCCCCATTTGCCGAGCACAGGGAGATGCTCAGCCCCGCCGAAGCACCTGACGTCCCGTGGTATCCACCACAGCCCCCTGAGGTAGATGTTGCCATTAGCCCTGTTTTACAGAGAAGACCGAGGCTCAGAGAAATTAAGGGATTTGGCCAAAGGGACATGGCTAATAAGTAGCTAAGTTAGGATCTAAACCCAGGTTTGTCTACTGCCCAGGAGTGATGGGAGGGTGACAGAGGAATGGAGGCCTACAGGGGTGAGGGGACAGGGACAGTGGAAGGCAGGGGAACAAACAGGGGCTCCAAGAGGAGGGCCAGGGCAGGAGGCTTACAGGGCAGGTTGCTCTGATAGACGCGGTCCACTTCGTCAGCAAGAGCAGCCAGCTCACAGGCCCTCAGAGCCTTGATGAGGGACTCCACCCAGCCGCTCCGCCGCTGAAGGCTGTGGAAGAGGTCCCAAATGGTGTTCTGGTTCCCCTTGTTGTTGAAGTAGGCCCGCAGGAGGTCCTGGAAGACACAGCCATGGCCCTGCTCAAACCAGGTGGCCCGGACCCTTTCCCCACCCCAGAGGAACAACTGTAGAAAGAGGCACCAAGAAGCCATAAGAGGGAGGCAGCCATCTGAAACCGGGACAGAGCCCAGGACACGCCTCGGGTTTGAGTTCAAGTTCAAAGACAGCTACCAGGAAAGAGGCCCCTACTGTGTCCTAAGCTCTCTAGCTCAGGGCTTTGCATGAATTATCTTATATAATTTCTCATTCCTACTCTGCTGCTGAAGAAGCTGAGGCTTCACGGAAGTAAGGTAGCAAAGATCACACAGCAGCGGGGCAGTAATCTGAACCCAATTAGTCTGGTGCCTGAGCCTGGGGTTTGTTTATACAGCCTCCGAGGCAAAGGGGTTTCGATTAGCAGAGGAAAAAAAGGTGCGTAGGAAATAGCAGATGAAGAAAGGCATAATGGAAGAGACGAGCCAACAATGAGAACCAGGGAAGCCCTGGCCGGTTTTGCTCAGCAGTTAGAGCATCAGCCTGTGGTCCAGAGAGACCCGGGTTCAGTTCCCACTAAGGGCACGTACCTTGGTTGCAGTTTGTCCCCAGCCCTGGTTGGGTCGTGCGGGTGGCAGCCACTCGATGTGTCCCTTTCACGTCGATGTTTCTCTCTCTCTCTCTCTCTTTCTCTCTCTCCCTCCCGCTCTATCTGAACAAAAAATGGAAAAATGTCCTCGGGTGAGGATAAAAAAAAATGTCCTCGGGTGAGGATAAAAAAAAGAAGAACCAGGGAAGATGAGGCACTGGGGACACTCTGACATGATGAAGCAGCTGCAGAGTTTGTACATCTACCTGAATTCCCACATGCAAACATGCAAACAAGCAAACAAACAACAGAAACAAAAACCCACAAAAAACCATTTACTGAAGAACAAGATGACCGGGTATCCCACAAACCCCAAAATACAAGCGGGAGGGGCCAAACCCCATCAGCCACAGACTGGTGCTACCAGCATCTGTGGGGAGGAAGCCGAGAACAGGGGAGTTCAATCTAAGAACAGCAAAAACTGGGAAGGTTCTGGCCCACTTCACTAGGGGCCTCCAGCAGGTCTGAGGGTGCTGGGGTGCTCTGGCACTCACGAACTTTCAAAACTGAGCCCTGGGTTCCATACCAAAACAGGATCCCACAACAAAGAGAATGGAATCAAAACTGAGGCAGAGCCTGGCTGGTGTGGCTCAGTGGACTGAGTGTTGTCCCATGGACTGAGAGGTCCGGGTTCAATTCCCCGTCAGGGCACATGCCCGGGGTTTCAGGTTCGATCCCCAGTAGGGGGCGTGCAGGAGGCAGCTGATCAATGTTTCTCTCTTACATCCATGTTTCTCTTTCTCTCTTCCCCTCTCTCTCAAACATCAATTAAAGCATATTTATAAATAATAATTTTTTTAAAAAAACTGAGCCAGAACAAGGACAAGAGAGGAAGAGAAGGGCAGTTCTGATAAAAGTGGGTGCCTGGAAATTTCAAGCAGCCACTGCCATATTGTTGAGCACTACACCGAAACAAAACCAGCGGGAGCTCAGGAAAGCTGGAAGGGCCAGCCGGAACCACACTTCATTCTGAAAGTTGGAAAAGGGGCAAGGACAGGAAGTGGGATAGACAACAGGGAAGGAAGGAGTTGGCTCAGGCTTGGGTGAAACTGAGTCCCACGGCCCTGCCCCAGCCTGGCTGGCTGCCGTGCCCCAGCTCACCTGGTCACTTGCTGTGAGGCAAGACAAGTAAGGCAGAATCTCCAGAACATGAATACGGTAAAAATTGTGTAAGTGGTGGCGGATATATTCGTAAGTCTTCTCCTCAGCAATCCTCATCACTGTCCTGGTTCTGAAGTGACGGAGGGCTCCGGCCCGTCAATGGACTGAGAGGAAAAAAGACTGGAAGAAAACAGACCACACATGACAACAGGTCTGAAAGTGGGGTTGGACAAAAGGCAATTCTCTTTGTCTCTACTCTGAAACTGTGGCTTTTCTCTTTAATCATCCTAATTCATTGTTGCCTGAGTCCCAGAGTCCCTCAAGGAATTTGCTTAAAAATAAATTGATGGCCAAAATAAATCAGATCCAGAAGATCTAGGGTCTATTTCTGCCCTGCAAGCTGGTCGGTGTTGGGGAGGGTCTGGCTCCTCACCATTGTCCCCAAGTCTGTTGTGCCCCTAGCCACTGATGGCAGGAGGGCTCCACCTAGAAGGGCTTCTTCTTTGAGGCACACTGGGGAAAAAAGCAGCAGCCCAACATGATAGTAATAGAATCCATCCTATTTAAAAGGTAAAGAAAACAAAATATTAAGAAAAAAAGGGGCCCTGGCCGGTTTGGCTCAGCAGTTAGAGTGTCAGCCCGTGGACCAGAGAGACCTGGATTCGGTTCCCGCTAAGGGCACGTACCTCGGTTGGTTTGTCCCCGGCCCTGATTGGGGTCGTGTGGGTGGCAGCCACTCGATGTGTCTCTCTCGCATTGATGTTTCTCTCTCTCTCTCCCTCCTACTCTATCTGAAGATAAATGCAAAAAAATGTCCTCCAGTGAGGAGAAAGAAAGAGAGAGAGAGAGAGAGAGAAAAGAAAGAAAGAAAGAAAGAAAGAAAGAAAGAAAGAAAGAAAGAAAGAAAGAAAGAAAGAAAGAAAGGAAGAAAGAAAGCTAGTTAGTGGAAGAGCAAAGAACTGAGGTCTTCAGGATCCATGATGAGGTTCTTTCCAGAGCATTACTGCAGGCCCAGCATTTAAAGCTTGCTACATACATGTTCTTAGTGTGGGAGGCTGAGTTCCACTGCTCTAAACTCACTGTTGACCTGGAGCAAGTTACCAGTCTTTTCCACACATGTAAAATGGCTCAGAGAGCTTGTTCTCACAATACCATAGTTCTGCCTTATTAGCTTGAAATTTACAAGTGCCTTAAATACAAGAAATCACTGCCAGTCACTTATGTAGCACTTACCACAATTTGCAATTATAGATGCATTTGTTTGTTCCTTTCTTATTTGCCTCCCCCCGGGGAGAGCTTCAGGGAGTGAGACATTTCTGCCATTATGCAATTTATATTCTATTTTGTGGGACAGATAATAAATCAGTAAATGTATATATAAATAAGAATCCTGGATAGTAACAAAAAAGTTACAAAGAAAATAAAGCAGGGTAATAGACAGAGCTGATGCAGAGAGGCATGCTGCTTGAACTGGGATGGTCAGAGAAGCCTTTTGGAATTGACCACACCTGAGTTGAGCTGGTCTTGGCTGAGAGATTGGTGTTTCCAACACAGGGCACAGCAAGTGAGAAGTTCTAAGGTGGGAATGAGCTTGGCATGTTTGAAGAATAGAAAGCAGGTCTAGGTGGTCCAGGTTCAGAAAACTAGGGGGACGGGCAGAGATCAAGGTCAAGGAGGTTGGGAGCATCCACTCATATATAGCGTTATAGGAAAGGATGTTAGGTTTTATTTAGAGTGAAACAGGGAGCCATTGGAGGGTTCTGAGCAGGGAAGGAAGAGGACTTGATCTGTGTTAAAGACCTCTCTGGCAGTTGTGAGGACCTTGGACTGTGGAAGGGCCATAATGGAAGGACGGAGACAAGTCAGGAGGCCACAACAGGGGACAAACACATGATGGTTATGGCTGGGATAGTAAGCACGGAGGTGGCAAGAGATGGTTGGATTCTTGGTGTTTTGTGGATCTGGGAGTGAGGGAGAGGAGAATCAAGGATGACTCCATGGGCACTGGGGGGATGTATGGGGCCATTTAGCCAGCCAGGGAATTCAGGGGAAGCAGCCGTGTCAGGAGACTCCAGAGCTCCATTTTGAACAAGTGAAGCTTGAGATGCTACTAGATTTCCAAATGGGTTTTCAGGGAGGAAAGGGGGCAGAGAAGGCCAGGCTGGAGTAGAAATGTAGGTGGCAGGCTTAAGTGAGAGCCCTGGGAGACAGTGCTGCAGAGCAGAGAGTGCCCCAAAGCTGCTGAGGCCATCAGTCCCTCACCACATGGGAAGCAGGGCAGCAGTCCTGTCTACCAGCCTCACATTGCATGACTTGCTTTGCCAACCAGGTGCTACGTTCCTGGTGGGGCAAGAGGTCAAGTGGACCACGGGATGGACATCTTGTCTTTTTGTTTTTCCTTTTTCTTCCTTTGAATAAATGTCACTTTTTGAGGCAAAAGAAAAGAGAGAGAGAGAGAGAGAGAGAGAGAGAGAGAGAGAGGTGTCAAGTGAAGTATGTGTCTGGAGACGTTAGGAGATGAGCAAAGAACAACTCTGTGGTAGCTAACAGATCCTTTTCTCCTTCCGTCCCATGACATCCAGGGAGGTTCCAGGAGAGAATCAGGTGATACATTCTTCTGCATCCCAGCCTCAGCCCTAAGAGTTTGAGAGGCATTGGTTTATGATATGCATTGTCCCACCAAAAAGAAAGGAAGTCCAAACATACTGACAGCTGTATGGGGAGGGGGATTTGGGGGCCGGGTGAAGAAGGTACAGGGATTAAGGGGGGGCACCAAAAAAGCACAAAACTTGAAAGGCACAGACAACACTTTGGTGATTACCAGATGGAACAAGGGATGAGGGGAGTTAGAAGAGGATATGAGGGGATGAATGGTGATGGAAGGAGACTTGATTTGGGGTGGTGAACACACAATATAATATACAGATGATGTATTATAGAATTGTACACCTGAAATCTAAACAATTTTATTAACCAATGTCATCCCAATAAATTCAATAAAAAATAAAAAAGGATATGTAACAAAGCCAGAATAACTTTTAAAAATTAAAAAGACTAATATTGGAGCCCTGGCTGGTTTGGCTCAGTGGTTAGAGTGTCGGCTCGCAGACCAATGGGTCACAGGTTCGATGGCGGTCGAGGGCATGTACAGTTGTCCCTCGCCACTTCACGCTTCGACTTTTGCGACTTCACTCTATCTCGGTTTTTTCAAATATTATACATACTATATTTGAAAAACCCATGATAAAGTGAAGCCGTGAAAGTCAAAGCGCAAAGTGGCAAGGGACAATTGTACATTAAATAAAGAATCCTACTTCGCAGAAATTCACTTACCGCGGTAGAGTCTGGAACTGATTAACCGCAATAAACGAGGGCCGACTGTACCTTGGTTGCAGTTCGTCCTCGGCCCTGGTCGTCGGGGTCATGTGGGAGGCAGCCTGTCGATGTGTTTCTCTCACATCAATGTATGTTTCTTTCTCTCTCTCTCTCTCTCTCTCTCTCTCTCTCTCTCTCTCCCACACACACACATTCTGTCTGAAGATAAATGGAAAAATATCCTTGGGTGAGGATAAAAAAAAAAAAAGACTAATATTGGAGCAAGAACAAAGAGACCAAAGACACTGAATGGAAAACTAACCAATAGTACAGATGAGAACTGTACAAGCATCAGACATATAGTGTTACAAATTAGTGATTAAATAATTGTTTAGAAGGCATTATTCATAAAATTAGCTCTTTGAGAAAATAATATTAAATCCTAATCTTACAAAATGGATAACAGAAAACTCTAAATGAATTTAAAGTCCTAAATATGAAGGGTAAATTATAAAGAAAAGAATAAATGTAGAAAAACATTTTTTAGCCCTGACCAGTTTTGCTCAGTGGTTAGAGTGTTGGCCTAGGGACCAGAGAGTCCCAGGTTTGGTTTCTGCTAAGGAAATGTGCCTCGGTTGCAGTTTGTCCCCGGCCCTGGCTGGGGTCGTGTGGGTGGCAACCACTTGATGTGTCTCTCTCACATCAATGTTTCTCTTTCTCTCTTCCTCCCTCTCTCCCTCTATCTGAAGATAAATGCAAAAATGTCCTCGAGTGAGGATAAAAAATAAATCGAAAAGAAAAACATTTTTTCAAGAACTTCTAACAAAATATTTGAGGATCTTAAGCATGGCTCTGTGTTCATTCCCAAACATTCCAAATAAAAAATTAAGCAAATAAAAGAAAGGAAGTCCATGCCCGGCTGGTGTGGCTCCGTGGATTGAGCGCCATCCCATGGACTGAGAAGTCCCTGTTCGATTGTAGGTCAGCCTGGGTTGCTGACTCGATCCCCAATGGGGGCGTTCAGGAGGTAGCCAACTGATGTTTCTCTCTCACATGGATGCTTCTATCTCTCTCTCCCTTCCTCTCTCTCTCTGAAAACATCAATAAAACATTAAAAAAGTAAGAAAGGAAATGCATATTTGTTCACTTTTATTAAGGATCCACTATAGGCAGGCACATCTTAAATTTCTTTCATTTAATCCTTGCTACAATACCATGAGAGAAGTCATGCCAAACTGCACAGCTGGCCAGTGGCCCTGACAGGATTTGAACCTAGGATTTAGGGTCTCACTGCAGCTCACCATACACTTTGCAGAGCATAGAGGCCCTGCAGCCAGTGAGACTCAGCCCCCTGCCTTCAATTTCAGGGAGGGGATAAGGGCATTGCCTGAGTGAGGGGGGCGGGTCGCTAGGAGAGGGTGTGCCTGGGAGAATGCGACATTAGTCCCTCGTGAGAAATGGCGATCTTTCAGATACGGCGGAAGACCTAACCGTGCGCTCCACAGCAGTGCGGTTCTCAGGTCGCCGACTCTCCTAGATGTTTTTGAGGCTCCATAGCATCTGCATGGAGAACGTCGTTTTGGGGGTGGTGTGTTTTTTGTTTGGTTGGTTTTTAATGTTTTCCTGGCACATTTTTTTTTATCCTCACCCGAGGACATTTTTCCACTTTTGTTCAGATAGAGAGGGAGAGAAAGGAAGAGAGGAAGAGGGAAACATCGACGGGAAAGGGACACCGAGCTGCCTCCTGTAAGACCCAACCAGGGCCGGGGACAAACTGCAATCGAGGTATGTACCCTTAGCGGGAACCGAACCCGGGTCTCCCTGGACCGCGGGCCGGCCGACGCTCTAACCACTGAGCAAAACTGGCCAGGGCGCCCTGGCACATCTTTATGGTCTCAGACAAGGTGGGTGGCGGAGAGTTCCGAACCCCACTCCCTCGGTCTCCGAGAGCGGCTGGGGTGAGGCCTCCAGCCTGGGCTCAGATTTCTAGATTCCTGGGCCAGACCCAAAGTCCACGGAGGGCAGGGAGGCTTGCTCTTCTTGGTAGATGTCACCACCGAAAACTGTCAAGACTTAGGGGAGGGCGGTAACTCTCGACCCCCGGGCACCGCCACAGCCGCCCAAGGTTAGTGCACCCAGGATAGGCCCCGCCCGGAGGTCACCCTGGGCCTGCGGACGCACGTCTTCTTCTGGCCCGTCCTCCCCGCACGCCCTGCGCCACCCAGCTCCCGGCCCCCGGTATGGACGCGGCGCGTGGAGCCCTCGCTGCCCCGAGTCTCGCGCCCCCCCACACGCCCCCCGCGCGCCCCAGACTCCGCGCGCCCTGGCAGACTCGGAGTCCTACTCGGCTCCTGCCCCCGCGGGCCACCTCTCCGAAAGGCACCCGTGCGATCTGAGCCCAAAGGACGGAACCCACGGGGTGGCGAGCTTACCTAGGGTAGCCACGACCCGGCGACCTGCGGACAGCCGCGGACCGTCACCGACCGCCACCGACCGCCACCGACAGCCACCGACAGCCCGGAACTCTCCCCCTCCGCAGGGAGGGGCGGGGCCAGGGCCTCGCGGCCAATGGGCAGACGACAGGGCCCTTCGTCTAGGCTCGCGTGGGCAGCTGGGCGGCAGGGGCGGGCACTGGGTTTGGACCTGGATCCGCTAGAACCGCCTTCCAGACCGACCTAGGTTCTTGCTGGGGCGCTAAGGAGCAGATTATTTTCTCTCCTGTCCGTCTTGAGCAACTTTTAGGAGAAGGCTAGGGTCTGGCTGGAAACCAAGTGAGCAGTCGACCTCAGGGTCTGTAGCCAGCTCGGTTCCCACGCTTCCTACGCGAAGCAACCCCTCGTCCCACCCAGTAATTTAAGGGGTGGGGGGCTTTACGTCGTTCGCTCTTGGATGCCCAGGGCCTGGCACACAATTAGTGCTTAATAAATATCCGGTGACTTGCAAAGTTGACACGGGCGCGAGAGCCCAGCCAGGAAGCGACGCTTGCTGGGCCTGAAGAAGCAAATTCCCGATGCAGGGCATGAGCTCCAAGGTTGGCTCTCCTGGTACCCTGGGTGTGGGCCTTGAGCGCTGTGTGTGAAAGGCCAACGGCCTTGTCCTTCCTCTGATGCGGCAGAGGACACTTGCTGGGGCAGAAGCCAGCACTTTTGAGCGCCTACTGTGTTCCAGGTACAGGCTTAAAGTCCATATCCTTGAGCCCATTAAATCTCTCACAATACAGGGTAGAGGTTTGTTTGTTCTGTTTTATTTATTTATTTATTTTTTACCATCCTCACCCGAGGACATTTTTCCATTTTTTGTTCAGATAGAGCGGGAGGGAGAGAGAGGAAGAGAGAGAGAGAGAAACATCGATGTGAAAGGGACACATCGAGTGGTCGCCACCTGCACAACCAACCAGGGCTGGGGACAAACTGCAACCGAGGTACGTGCCCTTAGCGGGAACCGAACCCGGGTCCCTCCGGACCGCAGGCCGATGCTCCAACCGCTGAGCCAAACCGGCCAGGGCTGTTTGTTCTGTTTTAAAAAGATATTTAGCCCTGGCCGGTTTGGCTCAGCGGTTACAGCGTCAACCTGCAGTCCTGAGAGACCCGGTTCAGTTCCCGCTAAGGGCACGTACCTCAGTTGCAGTTTGTCCCCAGCCCTGGTAGGTAGTGCGGGTGGCAGCCACTCGATGTGTCCCTTCACATCGATGTTTCTCTCTCTCCCTCTTCCTCTCCCTCCCGCTCTATCTGAACAAAAAATGGAAAAATGTCCTCGGGTGAGGATAAAAAAGAGAGAGATTTAAAGATTTGGGAATATGTTTGGCCATTCTTACTAAAGTTTAAGCATAAGCCAACCCAATCACTCAGCAACCACTCCTAGGTACGCATCCACCTAGAAACATGCACAATACATAATGTTCATAGTAGCTTTATTCTCAAGAGGAAACAACCCAAAGGTTCATCAGCAGGAGAATGAAGAGACAAACTCTGATGTGCTCACTTCATGGAATAGTATACAACAGTGAAACAGAACACATTATTGATACACAGGATATGGCTGAATCTCACAGGATGAATGGGCACTGTGGCTAACCAGGCCAAGCACAGAGAGTACATATTATCTGTTCCCAGTCACATGGTAAGGTTCAAAAACAGGAAAAACCCATCTACATAAATAGAAATCATGCCCTGACCAGTTTGGCTCAGCGGCTGGAGCGTCGGGTCTGCGGACCAGAGAGTCCCGGATTCAGTTCCTGCTAGGTGGACGTACCAAAAAAAGAAAAAAAGAGAAAGAAAGAAAGAAAGAAAGAAAGAAAGAAAGAAAGAAAGAAAGAAAGAAAGAGAAATCATCCTAGCTGGAGTGGCTCAGTTAGTAGAGCGTGGTCCTGCAGTAGTGGGGGGGGGGGGGGGGATGGGTTGCCTGTTTGATCCCCATCAGGCATGTGGAGGGTGTCGGATGGATGTATGTTTCTCCCTCACATAGATGTTTCTCTCTCTCTAAGCACGTCCTCGGGTGAGAATTAAAAAAAGAAATATAAATCAAATCACTCGTCACCTCTGGATATGTTGAGGGGTGGGGTACAAGGGAGCCTTCTGAGGAGATGGACATATTGTGAATCTTGATGTGAGTGTTGGGTACCTGGGCTTGTGTATATGTAAAAATGCATCAGCTGTACACTTAAGATTGTTACACTTTACACTGCAACTTCAAAAAGACAAACACCTGAGGGGTTAAAAGCTTTTGCTAAGACCACATGCAAATGCCTGAGTACACACCTGTCTCCAAAGCCAGTGCTCCCAAACTGAACCGCAAGATGCCTGAACACTTTTCAGATGAGATTTTATTATTTTATTTGGTAACTTTGTGATATATTACAATATTCAGCATTTACAGAATGTTAACCTCACACTTAGACTTAACTAACCGTAATAAAGCCAGTTCTGCCTTGTTTAGCCAAGATGGGGTGAACGTTGATTGGTTCGAAAATTACTGCTGCCTGCTACCCATGCCAAATCCAGTGACTTCATATCTAATTCTTTGAGGCAGAGCATTGGGAGTGTGATGCCTTGCTTTCAAATGCAGTTGTCACCCATTTTTGCTGGACCTCACAGGCATTTATTTATTTATTTATTTATTTATTTATTTCCTCACCCGAGGACACTTTTCTATTTTTTGTTCAGATAGAGTGGGAGGGAGAGAGAGGAAGAGAGAGAGAGGGAGAGAAACATCAATGCGAAGGGACACACCGAGTGGCCACCACCCACACGACCAACCAGGGCCGGGGACAAACTGCAACCGAGGCACGTGCCCTCAGCGGGAACCGAACCCGGGTCTCTCAGTACTGCAGGCTGACGCTCCAACCGCTGAGGCAAACCGGCCAGGGCGGCATTTATTTTTTAAAAACCAGCTTACCCTGCCAGTGTGGCTCAGCGGTTAAGGATCAACCATGCACCAAGAGGTCACCAGTTCAATTCCCAGTCAAGACACATGCCCAGGTTGTGGGCTCAACCCCCAGTTGGGGGCATGCAAGAGTTGGCCAATCGATTTTCTCTCTCTTCGATGTTTCTCTCTCCCTCTCCCTCTCCCTTCCTCTCTCTCTAAAAATCAATAAAGGGAAAGAAAAAAAAAAAAAAAACAGCTTACGCCCTGGCTGGTTTGGCTCAGAGGTTAGAGCGTCGGTCTGTGGTTCAGAGAGACCGGGTTCGGTTCCTGCCAAGGGAATGTACCTCGGTTGCAGTTTGTCCCCGGCCCTGGTTGGGTTGTGTGGGTGGCAACCACTCAATGTGTTCCTTTTGCATCGATGTTTCTCTGTTTCTCTCTTCCTCTCTCTCCCTCCCACTCTATCTGATCAAAGAACGAAAGGATGTCATTGGGTGAGAATTTAGAAAGAAAAAACAACAGCTTACTCATAAACACTGTGAGATACTGTCTTAGTCCACTTAGAATGCTGTAACAAAAATACCATGGACTGGGTGGCTTAAACGTCATTTATTTCTCAGTTCAGGAGGCTGGGAAGTCCAAGATTAAGGGGCTGGCAGATTCGCTATCTGGTTAGGGCCTGCTTCCTGGTTCACAGACATAGTGGTCTTGCTTTGTCCTCACATGGAAGAAGGAGCAAAGGAGCTCACTGAGGTTTTCTTTGAATTTTTTTCTTTGCCCAGCCGGTGTGGCTCAGTGGTTGAGCATCAACTCATGCACCAGGAGGTCGCCAGTCTGGATTCCCAGTCAGGGCACATGCCCAGGTTGTGGGCCCAATTCCCAGTGGGGGGCATGCAGGAGACAACCAGTCAATGTGTCCCTCTCATGTTGATGTTTCTCCCTCACCCTCTCTCCCACTCTATCTGAAGATATATAGAAAAAAGAAGCACTAGGGAAGAGATAAACCACGGAACTTTTGCATGTATTCATAACCAATGGACATAGACAACAAAGCTGGGGACAGGGCGAGGGGGATGAGGAGGGTGCCAATGGGGGAAAAAGGAGAAACATCTGTAACAATACTTAATAAAAATAATTTTTAAAAAGAAAAATGCGCCCTGGCCGGTTTGACTCAGCGGTTGGAACATCGGCCTGCGGTACAGAGAGACCCGGGTTCGGTTCCCGCTAAGGGCACGTACCTCGGTTGCAGTTTGTCCCCGGCCCTGGTTGGTCGTGCGGGTGGCAGCCACTCGATGTGTCCCTTCACATCGATGTTTCTCTCTCTCTCTCTTCCTCTCTCTCCCTCCTGTTCTATCTGCACAAAAAAAAAAAGAAAAAGAAAAAGAAAAAAACGCACTAATTCCATTCCTGAAGGCTTTCCTCTTATGACCTAATCACCTCGAAAAGACCCCACCTCCAAATCTCCAAATACCATCATATTGGAGATTAGGTTTCAATATATGTTTAGGGGTTGAGAGGTGGCAGCGGACATAATCATTCAGTCTATAGCACATATCAACCATTAAGATGACTATTATTAAAACAAACAGAAAATGACAAATATTTGGGTCAAATAAAACTAGCTATATTTTACTGTTGATTGCATCCCACCCCATTTCATGAATAGAATTCACTGATTATTGTCTATTTATTAGTGGAAGGGTGAGTCCAAAAAGTGATCTATACACCAGGCTGCTCCCCCAGTGAGGGCTCCCCCTCCCCAGTAAAGCTCACTCTAGGCAGGTGGCCCATGTCTGCAGGCCAGTGCTCCAAGGAAGACTGTGGCTCATGTGACTCATACATGATGACTCAGCAACCACCAGCTCACATTTCCTCCAGAGAACAAAGTCAGACCCAAAGATAGTACCAGAGGGCCCCAAACAGGGACATGTTCTCATGTCGAAGTCCCTTCAAGGAATGCTTCAAAAGGAAAACCAAAATACAACCTCTGCCTTTACAACCTTGTTTTAAATAAGTTCCTAAACTGCTATTCTTTAAACTATTTTATATTTTCTCTGGCAGTTTTTGTTTGTTTGTTTTTTTGTTTTTTTGGGTACGTGCCCTTAGTAGGAACCAAACCCAAGACTCTGGTCCGCAG